TACGTATGTTTAAATAATTCGAAGCAGACCCTTGGCCAGGGACTGCTACTCTAATTTTGTGCTAAAATGTGTGATGTGAAAGGATATTATTCTAATCTCTTACGGCGTTTTTTTCACTACAGTTAAGATTAGTACACTTGTGTACATATGTATGTATATTTAGGTATGTATTTACATATGTATGTATGTATATATGTATATATAAGTATGTACATACATGTATAAAATATGTACATCAATATCTGCATAGTTAAGTGTTCATTTTAGTAACGCAAGATAAGATAAGGCAATGAGCACAGATTGTTCTTATCAACCGTCCGCGAAAATATTAAGCTACTCAAATCATCAAAAAATATGAGAGCGAACAGAACAAGGGAACACACATTGTGCACACTTCAATGTGATTATTCCAGCCTCCCAAAAGGAGAAGCGTTCATGAAGCTGAACTCATACATGTACATTAGACTGCATCGCCAAAAAAAGTTGCGGTTTTTCCGCCGGGATTACAAAATTTATTATATTTTAAGACGTCCACTAAAATATTTCGGAAAAATATTAAGATTTACGTGAGCTGGACCGATACTTACCTCCAAAAATGGTTTTTTTATGAATAAAAAAAGTTTCTTAAAGATAAAAAAATCCCCTCAAATAACAAAACAGTTTAAGCTTAAAAAGTTTGCATACAAATATTAAATAAAAAAAAATTTTTAATATTCAACGGAATTGTTATGAGATTTTTGATGCTGTTTTTTTAACTTTTTTCAAATGTTGGCATAAGAAAAACTATAAAAACTGAACCTAAGCTATTCCGATTTAGACTATTTTTATTCATAAAAAACTCCATTTTTAGAGGTATTTTCAAATCGGAATATTTTTCCGAAATATTTTGTAATCCTGCCGAAAAAACCGCAACTTTTTTTTGGTGATGCTGTCTAATGTACATATTTATATATTTATATGTATGTATATATATTTATATTTATTGTAAAATGTATCTTTAATCGAAATGTAATATGTACGTTAATTTAAAAATATTTTACTTGTCAGTTATTTCGACAAGTTTCCAGTGGTCCTTATCGTTCTGACTCGCTCAATTTCGTTGCCGCTTATCACACACAATTTGAGCAGACGTTTTTGTTACGAGTATATTCTTAACGTCCTCACACATTTGCTTACATATTTTGATTCTTGTAATCAATTCTCAGTCGCGTCTCTTCACATTCACTCAATCGTATTTACATTTATTGTATGTACGTACNCTGAGTTTCATATAAATAATCATACAAATATTAACGTGAAAATATGTATGTTACATATAGCTTATTATAGAATTACTTTTTATATATGTAGTTATATATTGTGTAAAAATTACATGCATAAATCTTGCATTATTTGCTATTCAGTAGCGGATATGCATGCCTATTTTCGGCATTTTGCGAGTAGTTAAATTGAGAACTTTCAACGTGTCTCTTAAAAAATAACGGTTTTAACCGACTTCACAAAAAGGAGAAAGGTTATCAATTCGTGGGATTTTTTTTTTTATATAAGTTACCGCATAACGTTGGACCACGTTAACCGATTTCAATAATTCTTTTTTTAATGAACGATGTTACCTCACAGTTGGGAGGTTTGGTTTAAATCCGATCATCGGATCATGAAGAAATTAACGATAATCTTAAATGATTATATGAGAATTGAAGTCAGTTTTGTTTTTTGCTTAAAAATTACTTGTTATTATTTAAAAAATAATCTCCTAGTAATGATCGATGCGTACATATGTACACAGTAGATCGATTGAAGCATATGTATGTATGGAAACAGCTCGCTCTGTTCGAGAATAAATTAAGATTTGCCTCTTTATTGTCGTCTTCTTCCATTCCAGCATATACAAACGACTCTTAATCATATTTGTGTCCACAGGAAACATTTGGCTCTTGTTATCATACGCTTCACCTCATCCTACATCTACATATGTACATATATACATACATACAATATTGTTTGTTTATAAATAGAAATTGTATAAGAAAAGCTAAATCAAATAGTAGTTTTTTTTTGTTAAAACAATGAAAGCTGAAGCGTGTGTGTTAAAGAAGTTCCTCACAGTTGTTAATTTCGTTTTGATTGATTAAACTTGTAGATATGTGCATACTTATGTACATATGTATACCCGCAAGTTTAAACAAAATATTTAAGCGCGGTTTATACATATAAAATTCTATTTAGTTTACAGAATTCTACCTAAGAACGTTAAAATAGTACATAACGATAATGTGCAAATAACAAAGTGCGTGGATGTGAAAAATACAATAGTATTATAAACAGTATATTTGCACAAATGTATTTATGTATATTGTTATTAAATATGTAAACAAAGCCTTGTCGTTAAAACAATTTCCCATGTGCGCATTATCAAACCCAAGAAAAGGAAGCATGCGGAGGGGGAAGACCAGCAGAAGGTAGGTATGCACCAAATTGGGCAGCCAGCGCGCGTTCTCTAGGTCATTCGAAGGTCGCTGTGACGACGCCAGGCGACAGTTGACAGCGGCTCATTTAAAGTGCAAATATCTATGTATATGGTAGGAGACTATCCTATAATTTTTACAGATATACACATGCAGGTATGCATAATATATTTTCAAACTTATGCTCCATTTCACATGATTAATTATTGTTTAAATGTGATCCTACGGGAGTATGTTCCCCGTGTGCTTCTGAATTTGTTATAAGCGGATTGAAATCCCTGCAAGACTATTTTATGTATGTCTCTATATACAAATACGCTCGTAATTATTATACTGCTTATATTTGGCATAATTACTCACCTTACTTTCATTTGGAATATTCAACATTTTTATTATAAAATCCGCACGAACTCCACTGACGATTTTCGATGGGCACAATTACACACTTTTTTGCAAATTTCTCTTAATAATACTTTAATCCCGTCCCTTGTTTTCTACCACTTTCTGTAGTGCAGTTTTTGTGCGAAATTTACACTGGCAACCGCGATAAACACGACCGTTGAGTATTTTGTGCAAACAATTCGAGCCAAATATTTTTCACTTTTGTTTGTCTCTTTTGTTATAACATTCCTGTACGAAATTTTTTTTTTATGCTTATCAGCTGGGAAAAAGAAATGTCAACGAGCTGTCTGGAATGTCAGTGGAATGCACTACCGGAAGTCATTGGAATGCACTAAACGGGATTCATTGGAATGAGCTACCGGAAATACAAGCTGATAGACACCGAGTAGATAGTAGCCGAGTAGAAATTTTCAAGTGTTTTCACAAAGAACTTTGTGCCAAAGAAACAAGAACGTACATCCAATTAAAAAGAATTATTTTTCTTTTATTGATAAAACTTTTTACTCACTCGAGAAATCTTCAATAAGAATGAACCGGAAAATACACCTGTTGGTAGTTTTTGACAAATTATTTCTGTAACTGAACATACCACGCAGTTGTTTACTCTTGTTCTATCTACGCCCAACCACCCCACCAACATTTTACAAAGCAGCTGATCCAAAAAATTACAATTATTTATCGGTGCAAAAATTGCTTTTAAGTGCAACACCATTCATAAATCATCCAAAATATACATAATTTGCCGAACATTTCATTAAAATGGGTTCTCTGTGTTCATCGTGTTTTGGAAGCAATGGTGAATCATCTAATTTGATGCCTTCACCGGTAAGTTCAACTCAATAAAGATTTGTTAACACCTCTATAACCCAATAACAAATAAATCAATTGCCCTCCAAAGGAAACACGTCGTCGCCAGCAGCTTGAAGCAGCGGAGCGGCGTCGTGAAGAAAATGAGCGGAGAGGTATTAAAAACCCCGATAGTGTTCGACGCCAACAACAGCGTACAGAGGAAATGGAACGTAGGGAAGAGGAGGCAGCACGAGTGGGTGGTGGTGCTCCGAACTTAAAGGTATATACCTGAATAAAAGCATTTGATTTTACAAAATACCATATAAAACCAATAATATATATACATTTACAGTGGCAAGCCGCTTAAGGAAAACTGGATCAGAAGTTTAAAAGAGATATGTATGTAATTTTTAAGCGTGTCATTCTAAGCATTCAAAATTATTAAAATTTCTATAAGCAACAAAAGTGTTTAACTTGAAAAGATATACGTATGTACACATTTTTAAAATAATTGTTATGCATATGCTAATACTACTATATATTTATGTATGTACATAAGTATGCATATTAGAATATAGTAAAAACACTAGAATGATAATACGTTAGAAAAAATAATGGCACTCCTTCCATCTTTCTCGTAAAATAGTGCTCGTTACTAAAATCAAAATCATATATGTAGGTACCTGACGTTATTCTCTCTAATGTATTATTATACTGTGATAAAATATGTAACATTGATAAAAAGACATTCTTCAGCGATCTATGTACATTTTAATGTTATTAAATTTTTTGACTGTTGCGTTATACTTATAAAAAATATTTATGAAACAATACCAAAAACTAATCGAAGCTACATATTCATATATTATATAGAAATATCTGCATTGTGTTTTTGTAATTTTATACTTATACAATTTCTGTGAACTAATAAAGTATGTTTTGTAATTATGCAGTGCATGAGTTAAAAACTTATCTTCTGTAAACGAAGAAATCTTTAATTTGTTACAACAACAACAACAGCTAAAATTACAAAAAGTCATGATTTATGACAAGAAGTACCCTATATACATACAAATATTGATGAAAACTGGATGACAAAATGTTTTTTTTTTTAATTTAAATTATATTTGTGCAAGCATATATCCTGATACGAAG